CTTCGATTGGTTCCTGAAGGATTGCTGATCGTGCTGCGACCGCTGCCTGAAATTGGAACCATAATCCATGATTAATCATCTTATAGCATTTTAGATAAGCTAATTGTTATTCAAAGATCCACAAGAATATTACCTGGAAACTACGAAGCTGTTCTTCGTCTTCATCAGCTAATTGTCGTTCATACTCCCTCTTTGACTATAAACAAAAAGAAAAAAGCACAGAGAAGATATAACCCCAAAGATCAAGTCACGATTCTTCCATTACTGAACGTCAAGAGCTTATAAACATCAACTCATCAATATCTTACACAGGCCATGCTATATGCAGTCCATTTGCAATAAAGGAGATAAGAAACTATTGAGCTTCACAGTAAAAGATTGCTCACCATTTCGAGTTTATCGAGAAACTCAGTCTCATCTTCATCCAGAGCTTTGGGAGGTCCTGGCAAATCCAATTCAAAAGGCACAAACCAAAATTTGTAATTTCAGAAAAAGGAAAGTTAAACCAAAGATATTGCAAACTATAAAGCGATGACAGCTTGAAACTACTGTTACAGTGTGCCAGAAGTAGTGACTCACTGTGCTTGAACCGTTCATTAAACTCAGCGTCCTTCTTGTCTTTGTTCTCTTTCAAAATCTACAATTGATAGGTCAAAGAACAACACATTACAAGTGAGGACGAAGCAAAAAGGAAACATCTTGTTCTTAGTCTTCTAAATTCAAAATTCGCAAAATCTAACGAAACTGAAGCCCTCTCTCTCTGGAAAAACAGAAGAAAAGACAATTGAGAGGATTGAAAAAAACCTCGTACAGAGCCCTGTCTCTTTGGAATGTTCCATCTTCAACTCTTTCGCCTCTCTCTTTCTTCGATTCATCTAGCTGGATCACGAAACGAATTGCCCAGAAAGAAAAGGGAAAAACAAATTTTAGAAATCGAAATTTACAAAAGCTAGGGTTTCGATAGAGACAATATAGAAAGAACCTGTTCTTCCGATACGAAATTGAGTAACCTAATTGGTTTCGCTGTCTCTTCAGCCATCTTCTTCGTCTTCTTCCTCTACGCAACACTATTCGTCTGCTCTGAATCAAAAAAAAAAAAGTTCTACGAAAAAAATAAGAGTCTCTCTTTCATTCGCCGGATTTAACACTCTTCTTTCTTCGACTAACCGTCCGATGGACGACACGTAGCAATAAAATCTCAAGAGTTTTCAATTCTCCACAAATACCCATCAGGTTATCATTTATTCGGGTTTGACCCTATAATTTTCAGCTGAATCAATTTAGTACCTCGACCGTTAATCTGAAAGTACCCCAGTTAGGGTCTATGTATAAAATAAATATGCTTATTGGTTATCAATGTGATTGTGAAATGTGTGATAAAAGGAAAATTTATTGGAATGAGACATAAGATTTTGAAAGCAGAATTTTTTTTTTGAGGAAGAAAAAAGGACATGATTTTATTTGCATAATACTAAATGATACAAAGCCGTTAAACGTTAAAAATTACTAATAAAAACACGCCTCAAAGGTTAGCTTCTTCGATTCCATAGCAAGCAAAGGCCACTCCTCTACAAAGCTCAACAACAAAGTTACCTCGGCCGGTGGCTTCTCCATCGCCTTATTGTTACACCGGAAATGAAGAGAGTCTAAATGATGCTCTGGTGATTATCAAGCTATCTGCCACCAAACCAAAACATGGAACAAGATCACAATGGAGAACACAATGCCTTTAATGGGTTTGGTTCATATGCAATCAAGCACACATCACCTAGAACATGGAACAAGATCTAAAGCTGTCCGCTTTTTACAATTCAAAAACAGATTGCTTAATCAGTAGTAGTCATATAGTTTAAGTTCCACAATATTAAGAGACGAGACCAAGGAGGCAAGAAAGCTCAGATGTTGAGAATTAACTCTAGAAGATAAGCAAGATTGTGAATTTGAAGCATACCTGGTTTAGTACACTCAAGGAAGGTTTTGACAAGTTATCTGATCCTTGACTAACTCGTTTATTGCGTCTCTCAATCTCTCATAATCCTCGGTTTTGTTATAAAGCTGACGAGAAATCCGAACATACGCAGTGATTATCCCACTGTCTTTGTCTTTCACACCTTCCTCGCCATCCCTCAATGCAAGAAAATAAACCGGAACCTCCACTGAACGATGCACCCGCAGATACAACCTCAATTTAGTAGCATCTTCATCGCTTTCAACACATAGTTTTGAAGGTAAACCAATCATAACCATCCCAACACACATTTCAGGAGGTGACCCGAGATTCGTTCCCCAAGCATTAGCTAGCATTAACCCCATTCTTACAGCCTCGTCATGGTTTCTATTCATTATCCCTTCGATCCCTCCCTCGAACCTGTTTACAAAATCCATCACAGACGGAACCACAAGCTGCGGACTGTAATCCCTAGTCCCAATCCAGGCGCTCTCTATAGGCAAACCATTTCCAAACTCATGAGACACCACAGGGTGATGAACATCAGACTCGGAACTATGTTTCTTGCAATAGAAAAACGCGACAGACGGAGGACAAAAGAACCATTTATGCAGATTACTCACGTAGTAATCAGCTCCGATTTCTTTAACATCAACTTTAACACTACCAATAGCATGAGCTGCATCAACAAAAACCTGCTCCACACCTTCTTCTCTGCAGATTTTAACCAATTCTCGTACCGGCATCAAAACACACGGCATGGACGTTATATGATCAATGATAGCTAACCTAACCGTTCTACCATTTGCTCTACCTTTCTCTAATCCTTGTCTAAACGCCGAGATAATCTCTTGGTTCGAATTCACAGGGAAAGGTAACCTAACCTCAACAGTAGAACCTCCAACGCGAGAAACATAAGCCTGAATCGACTTCTTCACACTCTGAAACGCACAGTGAAACATCACTACAGTGTCTTCCTTTTGATACTCTCCTTCGGCGAAACACCGTCCGATTTTCTGAAGAACAATAGCTGCAGCTGTAGTCGCGTTATCAACGAGCGAGACCTCGTCGACATGATCGGCGTTAATCAGGTCAGTGATCACATTTCGAGAAGCGAGCAATCCACGACGGAGACCATTGAAGTAAAACTCGTCTGGTTGACGGAGATAACGAAGCTGCCACTCTCGCTGTGCATCGAGGACGGAGCCGGGACAACAACCGAAGCTACCGTTGTTGATTCTGGCAACACCAGTCTGGTGGTGAGAGAACTCGGATTGGATATCCGACTCGGTTAATAACTCAGCCAAGCGTGGCTTCTTCGGAGCACGGTGGTTGTGACTCGCCGAATCACCGTTCCGCCGCTCGTCCGCCGCCATCGGAACGAAAAAAATCTCGGCTAGGGTTTTGGCTCGAATTTTGGGGATTCCCAAATTGAGAGATTGTGGTTTTGTGGGTCAAATCGAGTCACTGGTGATGTGACTCAGAATTAGTGGTTTTGCGCTTCCCGACAATTTCAGAAATATTTCAAAATTGTTAATGTCTGTTTGAAGTGAAAAATAAATAAATAACCCATTTCAGAAAACGGGGCTATCAGTTAATGGGCTGATATAAAAGCCCACAAAATTCATTATAGCTATGTGAAACGATGCCGTTTCCGGTGAAACCCTTTGCCTCAATTGAAGCTGCGTGCTTACTTGATTGATCTCTGTCATCAATTGGTTAAATATTGTGGAGAAAGTTGAGTTTTTAATGTTTTCTGTATCGTAATTTTATATGATTTGCCATGGTTACAGAGAGAGTCTCATACTAGTTCGTATGTGAGGATTAGTTGGGCAATTATAGTAAAATAATTTTTGCATGACTTAACCATTATACAAGTTGACACTAGATTAGAAAATAAATCCATCTTTTCTCCATTACCATTAATGCCATTTAGCGTTGACTTATTGACTAAAATTTGGGCCTGGCCCATGTATACCCGAGAAACAGATGCGATCCCTAACACGTGGCTATATTTAATTGGAAGTAGCTCATTAACAAAGCGAGTCAAAGGTTTTTGCAAGCTCTTTTCTCAATTTGCTCTCTCTCCTCTTATCTCCGCCGTCTTCAGCTTTCCGGCGAATAGGTTAGG